TATGTCATAATAAATAATTTTAGTTGCTGAGGAAGTCTCAAATAGAGACGAAACGTTCAACGGATAAATATAGTGTTCATCTTAATTAAACCCGTCCAAAAAACAACTTCCCTAAGAGTAAACTTAGTAATAATATTATTATTATTATTATTATTATTATTACTATTGTATGTCAACTGTTCTTATTATCCTCTAATTATTATAATTCCATATGTGCAAGGTGTATGCTAACTTGTGTGCATAAAATAAGACACCAACAGCAGCAACCAACTCCCCATTAAATAGCTTATAATGATAGAGGATTCTATTGTATCTATCTCTATCTCTCTCTCTCTCTCTCTCTCTCTCTCTCTCTCTCTCTGTTTCTCATATTCTCTGTAACGTGATCTTGCAAACAGAATCGATTGTAAAATGATCCAAAGGTGTGTGTTGTATTTTGTTGTGTAGTAGTGGTATGATTACATATTGTTTTTCGGGGAATGATGATATCGTATAAGCACGATGAAGCCCTGCAATTCATTAGTTACAACACTAACAAGAAAAGTATCAAACTGGCAAGGAAATTGTATGGGGTTACCTAGTTGTTTTAAATTAATCAATCCTATTTCCTGACTTTATTTTCTAATCCATATATACATATATGGAATGTTTATTTTGAAAGTTGTGTAAATCCCCATTTTCTGTTGTTTTAAGAACATTAAAGGTTTGCATATTGATTAATTTAAAAATATTCATTAATTATATCAAGTTTGACAATGTTTTTATATTACTTTGATTATATACATTACTTTTAGATTAATTTAACTAAAATAATGTATATTTACAGGCTGCAAATTAATCAATTGTTCAAATCGTTTAATTTCAGTTTTGTAAAATAAAATATCACTTAATATATATTTCATATTAATCCAATTTTGTTTAAAAATAATAATAAAAAAATAGAAGTAGTATTTTTTTATTTTCAACGTTAATTATATTGATAAATTCAACATTATTAGTAGTAGGCAGTGTTTTTAAATATTTATGATGCACAGGAAGTATACAGTGTAATAACTGCTTGATATTCTTATTTTTTTCGTAAGTAATAAGCATAGGCATCGTGATACAAATGCACCAGACTTTTAAGTCTTCAATTCTGTCTCTTTCATCAACATTTTTATATAAAATAATATATGCTGCACTTTTTCGAAACCTTATCCAACATATTTGCAACCAATTAACCTTTTTTATTTTATTATTGTTTCTTGTCATCTGTTTTTTGATTGCATTCTGTAGATTCTTCGTTGAAACGAAATTCTCTCGTTTAATTTCATGTAAAAAATAAATTTATGATGTTGTTTACACTGTATTATAATATCATAATATTGCTATGGTGTATACAGGAAATTCTTTTTTATATTTTTTTCTTTTTTTTTCTATGGAAATTGAACTTACACCACTTTCATAATCAATGGTTACGCAGTTTCTTTTACCAACCAATTTTAAATTGAATAATGCATTAACATTTTTTAAGAAATTAAATACTAAATAATTATAAATAAAAAGTTTACACTAAATTAAGTATAAATTATGTGATATCTCATTTTTTTTTTTAAATGTACGTATAATGAAATAATTATGAGAGTGGTTTAAGTCAAAATAAAAAAAAAAAATGAGTATGTTATTTAACACCATATTATTTTAAACTAAATTAATTCAATGTAATTTTGTAATATTGTCAAAAATGAATTAGATAGTGTTTGTTATATTTCAATATTATATAGAATTCATTGAGTGTTCAAATGAAATCCTTTGAATATCTCGAAACAAGAGATATATGATTTAGATCACTTTCATAATTATGGGTATACATATATGTATTGTTTTACCTTATACAGGGTTAGATAAGATTCGTTTTTCAGCAAGATTCGTTTTTCAGCAAGATAAGATGAAACACAATCACTTTCGAGAATTTCGATATCAACCCTCGATTATAATTCGTCACATATAAATGGTATAATAAAACAATGCAAATTGTCTAACGAGAAATAAACAATTTAAATAATAATTCGTATTAACAATATACAGATAAATCAATAATAATATATCAAAATATCAATATTAAATTAAACCAAAAGTTTGTTGTTTAAAATAATTTGCAATGTTTTACAAGTCAATCAAATTATTATACTTTACATCCTAGTAAAATTATTAATAAAAAAAAATCAAACCCCATACGAACTTTTGTATTTAATCCTAACAGTTTAAGTCGGATTCTCAAAGATTTGTTCGTATATTTGAAAATGATCAATTTCAAATGAAAATGCAAAAAGTTAGGTATATTTGATATGCAATGATCTCTCTCTCTCTCTCTCATTCTCATGGGATTATTAAATGTTAGAAAGGAAGAAGATAGGAAACTTTTCATGGATACTTGGTGTGTATACAGCAAACATACACACACATATATACATATATAGAAATGTAAGAAGTTTCCAAGTGATGTACGCAAGATTTCTACGATGCTAGCATAGTTAGCTAGCTAGCTTTGGCTTGGCTATCTACTCGTGCGTTACTTACCACGATGCTCGGGTCAAGAATGTCGTAATCGACATTCTCTGTGGAAACTCGCTTCTGATTGGAGGATGACTAACGTAAGCTTTTCAAATGTATGTTCTACACGCAAAGTGTTAATACCTTGAAAGACCTCAACACGTTTATTACCCTCCATCAGGTACTACTAATGCAATATGCGATTACAAATGATACAGGTTGATGATTTAATAAAAAAAAAATAAATTAAAAGAATTCGTTCAACGCGTGAGAACGCAAAAAATTTATGCATTTATATCGAGAATAATAAATAATAATAAAAACAAAGTGATAAAAATAATCTGCATTCTAATTCTTGATATAAAATAATTCATTGAATTGAAGAAAAAAAACATTGCCACTTGTTTTGGAAAATGTGTATTTTGTCGGACCACCCCCCCCCCTTTTTTTTTTGTTTTTATCGAATCGAATCAAAATTTATTTATTAAATATCGAATTGAAACAAAAATACTTACGTTTATTAATTATTAATTACATTTCAATTATTTTAAATCTAATGATTTAATTAAAAGAAACGAGAATTGTATTCAAGTATATTTGACATGAGTGATTTGAAAAATTAAGTTGTTGTCAAACAAAAAGAAACGAGCCCAGTATGAAAATGCACGTTGT